TTACGTGTTTCGTCAACAAAATGATCGATCATGGTAACTGATTGTTTGTACTATCTCATTCTCAACATAGTCGACGGGTTTATCGAAAACTAACAATAAACTGGATGGTACATCTAACTGATGAATATCCTATGGACGATTTACCTAATTTTATGAAAGATGTCACGATCGCTTAAGTTGGGTACGGGATGGAAACTAAATTTGGGCTTGGATGACCTGATGGGTCCCACCTGGGTCTTTACTAGGGTCACCGAAGGCTCCAAGCTAGGATAAAGGAGGAGAGTATGAGGTCATCGACCTATTCTTACAGAAAACAACCTTACTAAGAATAAGCATCAGCCAGAAAATCTATTTAGAACATTTAGGATCTATCTTGGGAGTTGAAGTGTCTTCATTTAGAAGAGTTATGACACCAAACGGCAAAGGCTTAGTTTCTTTTGAATTCACAATGTTGATTCCCTTTTTGACAACTAGTGCAACCATTAACATAGGTACATGGACGTCCAAACAAAATGAGAGGCCGGAAGAACAATCCACGTAGCTGTAGAGATAAACAGATACAAGCTGGAAGTGCTTGAAATAAGTTAGACCTCTTGGACTCAGGTTGGAAAAAGACGATAAGCTTCAGGAGAAATACTGTTATACTCTGGCTATGGAGAATAAAATGCTTCATATGCAGAAGGAGTTGCGCTAACACAGTCCAAAGAATCCTAAAAAGCATTTATCGGTTGCTAATCTCATGGACACAGGGTTGTCAAGGAATCCCTCAAGATAAATAAGAAATGAAATACGATGCATGAAACACATAATCATAGAGGACATAAACGACAGGGTTTAAATGAGCAATACTGGATATGAACAGATCACGAGACGACATGGTGAAGGTAAAAAAAACGGTGGGAGACTTTCAAATCTACGTACCTTATACAAAAATGGTTATAGATGTCACCGTATCCCCAGAAGTTATGTAGGCTTCACCCGATCACACTAAGGAAAACTAACCTATCGCAACTGTATTAGTAGAAAGTTCAGACAGAATATAAGCGGCATGAAAACAAAGAGAGAAGTTGAAAAAGCTTCAGTTGATCACTTGTTGTTAGCGGAAATAAAGCTAAAGCCAAAGAAACATTGGACAACTGGGTAAGCCGTGTAAAAACATTAGTACGTCCTTTCTTCAGGATAGGTCTTAGCAACAATTTCAAGCGCCAAACGAATTATTACATAAAGGAAGAACTACCATTTGAAACAATAACAAAGGGATCAAGAAAGAAACAACTTCAATATGGCATGAGGTTTTTGGCGGCGAGAAACACCATAGTAAACAAGGGATCCTCGATTATACCCTGGATAAGATTTACGAAAGGAATAACAGACAGACGGTAACCAATGAGCCAAAATGAGCAGGGAAAGCCAAAACACAGGTAGACTGCACAAAAGCTATCCAGTAACTGTAGTGACGCCACTTTTATGAAGTGAACGAGATTAGATTATTAGAAACGTTTGTTGTCATAAGTAACTGTACCCGTGATTGCCCTACTGTACTCTTTGTTTATCTGTACTGGAAACATCCACTTTCCGTTCGTATCGCCTTCATCTTGTTTATTGTACCCACGGTAGTTTCTCCTCGATACCATGAGATCGCCGGTAAATATGCCTTCATTTCTGTATCCAGCCTTCTTATTTGTTTTGGTTTTAAAAAGAGATTTACCTGGAAACTTGGATGTAATTGGTCGTAGTCAACCTCTACTCGTCCCAATAAAAAACCCTACTGCCCTGAAACAAACGTTTTCATTCAGATCCCGATACATACAAACTCACAACCAACTGCCAACCGACTAGAATTAGACGGTCGAGAGGCTAGACCTCCATTCGTTGGACACTTCGGAACACCTGGAACCGTATCAAAAGAACAAGAATGTAGCGCAAAGAAATAAATTGGTTTATACTAGCTCGTGAAAAAGATATTGGATATTGGAGTTGAAGAATTAAAGATCACAAAGTAAATATGTGGAAGATCTAGCAGTTATAGCAGAAAAAGCTGCAAGAATGCGAAAAATGAGATTACTGTATGAAGAAGCCTGTTGAATATTATCTTAAACCAGAATGACCAGTGAGAAAGAAGGGAAGCAAAACAATCACCAACGTCGAAGGACAGTGAAACAGGTTTGTAGAGCAGTTTGAAGAACTCTTGTATCTACCACCCTCACTAAACCCCCCGAACATCGAGCCTCCGACTGGTGTTATTTCACCAACAGTTTAAGAAATCAGTATGACCATCTGACGAAGCGTCTGACAAGATACCAGCTGAGTCACTGATAGCAGACATAGCAGTTACTGAAATGACTGTGCACCATGTCTTCATCAAGATTTGGAAAGAAGAACAAATACCAACAAATTGGAAAGATGAGCGCCTCATCAGGTTAGTAAAGGATGATCTTAGCGATTGTGAGAACTACAAAGACTTCATCCTACTAGTTAAGGTCCTAAACTGAGTGTGTTTGAACAGAATGAAAGTGTTAATAGACGTTTGGCTTCAAGATCAGCAACCTGAATATCGTAAGGATCGTTGATATACCAAGCAAACGGTGAAATTATGAACCATAATTTAAAAACTGAATGGATGTAACTCATCGCTGTATCTATACTGTTGACTATGAAAATGCATTTGACCATGTGGAAAAGATATCGTTATGGAGCATTCTTCAACGCTTGATATAAAAGCCCTGGAAGAGACAAAAACTCTTATCTACCTGGGAAGCACTACTGATAAACAAATTAATACAGAAGTGAATATAACTAAGCAACATAAAGGCCTCATTTTTAAAGTTGAAGAACACCTGGAATTCCAGATAAATTTCAGCCAACATCAGAGTCAGAACTTGCAGTATAAACCTCAAGGCATTTCCATTGTATCAAATACAAACGGGGAGAACTAAAAAAACTCATAATGCATAGTCCTGTTGTTCGTGATGTGTTCGTAAAAATAAAGAACTTTTTTGGTAAGATCCAAATAGTTCTGTACAGTTACCAAAGAAACATCACTCATGGTTATCAATATAAATTGATTCATTTTCGGTATTTATCAAGGTATGTTACTCTGATGTAAGCCAGGCGCTTTCACTAATTATTTCCACCTAATGTAAGCACAATGTTTATAGTGATCGATTTTTAGTGGTGCGTGATTTAACTTGAATTTGTGCGAACAAAAGAATGTTCTACGAAACAAATCTTCCCTCCAATTTACGGGTATTATTCTTGAAGGAACTTCATTTGTGCAACGGTAGTGATCAAAAGTCCAATACAGTTTACACTGGATGAATTTCATTTTATACACTCGCGTTGGCAGACAAGTAGCAGAATGTGAAGCGAACCAAAGTAATTTGAAGAAGTTGAGTCAGCCTACTCAATGTCATGAGGCATGACTAGGTATTTATAGTCAGACGAAAGTAATATATAAATGTTCTAGGCAATGTAGACAGTGTATGTAGAATCTATTTTGAAGGCCTTGCTTTCGGAAAATCCCTCCATGTATATATATTTGCGTTATGATCTGAGTGACTCTTTCTTTTCGATATTTTGGAACTGTATTTGATCCCATTTTTGGATTTTATCATTTGTATCTTTTTTATTGTTTCTATATCTTGTAATTATATTGAAGTTTCTATGTTTCCTTCTGAACTGTATATGTGTTGTTTAAAATTGATACTTAATAAGGCTACATCCGTTTTGGATTTGATACTCTAGCAGCAGCTCGTTGCCACTAACTGGAAGCACTTATTCTTCCAGTATCGGAACCTATCGTTGTGATTAGAAAGTCGAAGGTGTAATATTGTTTTGGCAATAGACTGTATTTCCTTCTTTGATTAGAAATGGAAACGTTCTTTCCCAAATTTGTTGTTTTTGAACTTGGACTGGGCCAGACGCGTGTGAACTAACACCTATTTGGATTCGGAGCTCGCTGCGAGAGTAATAAATATTTCTGTAGTGTATATACGCAAATACTCAAGTAAAACAACCAAGGTTATGAGCTGATAATAAATAAGGTCAATAGATTCGCGAATAATAAGTCGTGGATAAGCAGATCGGTTTGTTCAAAGGCTAGGACAAGCAATGTAGGCTCAGCATAAAAGATCCCACTACAATCGGGGAATAAAAAATCGAAATTTCAGTGTAAGTGCTGTTCACTGTGCTAGTTTGTATTGGGTATTATCTCAAAATAAACAACAATTTACTGGCCAGTTGGCTAATTTCAAATTAGCCTTAATTTGATTAGTTTTCCTTAATATGACCGGTTGAATTGATGATGACTGAGGAAATTGTACACCTCATAGATTCTCGAGTAGAAGGTCTATGAACACGTCTATAAACCAATTAGGTTTGGGTACCAAGCGTAATCCTTTGTCTTATGAAGGATTGAAGAAGACGGGGTAGACCCGATTAAGTAGATGTATTTGTGGGTGATTTCACTGTATCGACGTGTCACTCATGCGAATGAAGATGAAGATATGTAAAGGTGGTGTTTTCTAAGATGAAATGAGCAATCGTAGGAGTTTCGCTGCCAAAGGTCCCAAGGTCTCATGGACTATTCGTGGATCATTTTACTACTTGGATGAAGAAATGTTTAGGATTTCATGAAAGGTCACACTTACTTATGTTAAGGAGAGAGACTGAAACAATTAAGCCTATTTTCATTATCTTATCGTATAATAAGAGGTGATTCATTACTAGCTCACCGTACAGTTAATGAAAATGTCGGTATTATTATGCCATATCTTTCCCTTCTGTTTAAAATTGATCTTCTGTGAGGACATCCTAAGGTAGTTCGAAAACCGAGATCAGATCCTTCATGTAAAGTGTTCTGTTTCTTGTATTAAATAATCAGTTATTGAGGTTCTTCAACAGAACAACATTGATATCACAGAAGTGTAAATTGCTGCATGATCTCAAGCTATTTTGTTAAGCTGCACTACTCACGAATGAGACCTTGAATTAGTCGCTGAGTGCAATACAAAATCATGACAACATAATGGAGTTTGAATCCGGCCTAGATAATATCTTGAATCAAGAAATTACAATTGTTCGTGGAAGGAAACCTAGAGAAATATGTGCGGTCGAGCGCAGCCAGTCCCAGTGATTGCTAACATAATCATGTTATCTATTCTTTCTAGGAATGTGATGGAAGTTGACTCCATAAAAAATCTAGCCAACGTTTTGGACCTACTGGGTAAACGCTCGGGAAAAGTAAATTAATTTTAAACTTATTTTGAAAGGCTCAAGGATTACCTGGACCTGTGACATCCTATAGTAAATTCAGGGATTCGAACCAGTTAATTTTTTTGTTGTCTGATGTTCCTTCACAAAAGTCTGTATACTTTGCTAATATATTCTGTTTTAGGATTCTAGGTTTTCTTAAGACAGGTAGAAAACGGCTCTTTGTGCACGACTTAAAAGGAGTTTGTGTCGAATGTATGCCTTTATGTGTTTTGGATTTTTACATTCATGAAGAATATCAAAGAAAGGGGTATGGAAAAAAGTTGTTCGACTTGATGCTTAAAGTAAGTGCATGAATAGTGACTTGTTGTGCCCGTTTCATGATTTAATTCGGTTTCTTTTCGCGCAATAATGTTGGCTATTAAATCACTAAAATTATTCTCAGTCTCATTTTCCCACTTTTTATTTAGCAGTAGTAGTAGAGCATCTTGTTAAGCTCCTTGCTTTTGTCAGCAGAGTACGAAAAGTGGTTTGGTAGTTTAAAAGCTAGACATAAAATGAAGGGTTTCATATGATTTTTATTCAGGCTTATTTGTTTTATTGAAGACATGTAATTAGTATTACTAGCTTCAGTATTCATTAATAAGGATGTGAAGTCAGTCGACCTACATTAGTCCTCATGATATGCAGTGATCTGAAGATCCAATCGGTCATTTTATTTGGTGAAGTTGCTGATCAGTTGACACTGCGATTAAAATAATGGCTTGTATGAATGTTTATAGTTAGTATTAGTAGTATGCAAGGTCAACATTTGTATATTCAGAAAATAACGGTCTTCAGTGTTGCCAAAATGTTGGGTTTTACTAATGGCGAAGAGGATTTAGAGTTCAGCTGGATGCATTTAGTTTCTTCGAAAAGATGGTTTACTTTCAGAGCTTACATATTCACTGTAGAATACCTTATCAGCATTTACTTAATCTAGAAGTTATCTTCTTAGCTATTTCACAAACGTTGAAAAAGTTTATCCTGGCTGCATTGTTTCTGATCCGTTGTTTTCTTAGATTTTATTACATTCATTTATCTTTGTATGAATATTTTGTGACTATGTCGTTTGATTCATCTCTGATAATGACGATTGTCTCTCTTTGTATGGATCTATATATTATGTTTCTCTTTATGCCTTTTAATTACCAATAGGCCCGGGTGCGTCTCTAGAATTTCTACGACCCTCTTAGGATGTACTAGATCTGGAAGCTCGACACGTATAGTTTGTACTAATATGTCCAGCCCACATAGTTTGTCTCTCCATTTAGAACAGTTATGATGCCTCATGATGAAAGCTTGGTTTTTTTCCGAAGTTGCGAGTTCGATGTCCCTTCTCACAACCAGATCAACAATTGATATAGGTACATGTAATGTTCTTACAATGTCATTGTTCTTAAGAACCATTCAAGTTGCTTCTAAAATGATAAGATATAACCTAGTGGTGTCTGGGATAAGTGAGACATAGGACCGAGGCTGGAAGAAAAGTTTAGATTCAGGAGAGCTACTGTTTTGCTCCAACCATGAAGAAGAAAATGCATACACAGGGAGTTGTTCTGATGCTGTTTGAAGAAGTCAAAAGTCACATGAATCTCATGGGTCAAAGATTATAAAAAAAGGCATTACAGTGAACGTCATCCTGTCCTATGCACCTACCAGCGATTAAAATAAAGACGTTGAAGATGAGTTCTACGAGAGGCTGCAGCCAGTCGTCGAGAAACCACCTACGAACGACTTGACAATTCTGGGGGGAGACCTAAATGCCAAGTTTGCGGTGGACAACACTGGGTAGATAGATATCATGGGACGGAATGAACTGGGAGAAAGGAGTGAAAACGGTTTCATATTTGCAAACGTATGTGCCTTCAACAAGCTGGTCATAGGCTGCAACATATTCCAACAGAAATGAATGCATAAAGCTACGCGGGTGTCACCGAATCACACTACTGATAAACAAATTCATCAAATCTACACCAACAAAATGTTCAGAAGGACCATGGAGGACGTAAAATCGAAGAGGAGACCTTATCAGGCTTCAGATAACCTCTTGGTATTGATGTTGAAACTAAAACTCAAGAAGCACTGAACAAGTGACTGACTAACAGCACAGAGGATTAATATGGCGTTTTTTCTGATACTAGCAGACACAGCGAATTCAATATAGCTCTCAGAAATAAGTGCATCTCTGTTGATACTCTGAATAAGATTGGAGAAAGGAAGAAGAAAAGGCAGGAATCAGTATCAGAGAAGCATCAGAGTTAATAAGGGAAAATATGTTCAAGATGTAGCAGTGACATCAGGAAAAGCTGCAAGTGGATGAAACAAGAGAGAACTGTACAATAAATACAACAAAGAAGGTTGCTGGAAAATGCAACACGCCAGTATGACCAGTCAAGAATATAAGGAAAGGAAACCGATCACCGACACTGAGGAACAATGAAATAGGTGGACCAGCCACACTAAGTTCACCCAACATCGAAACAGCACCTATCAGCACCCTAGTTGATGTTGATCCACCAACAACTGAGGTAATCGAAATTGAGCTTTTAATAACCACCGTCGTACAAATGGAGTTTTCCTGGGAATGACATGCGAAAATTAAAAGCAAGACTTCCTCAAGACTTATCCAACGCAGTTTTTGTCACAGTTTACCAAATTTATTCTGTTGATGATGTTTCACATCTACCTTCTCTCGTTGCTGTTTTTTGTTTTGAATATAATTGAGCAATATGACTGATCAGGTTTACGAAGTCAGCCAAACAAGAAAATCATCTTGAATTTTAAAGAGAAATAAGAGCAGAAACCTGTGAAAACAGCCAATCACAAACAAAGTGATAGGTGCAAACTAATATAACAACTTGTCCAATAATCAAGAAGTATACTTCTGCACGAATCGATCACTGTCGGTATTGTTCAGAATGACAATCAAAACTGATATGCTGCAAGAATATCATAAACTCTAAAATCAAACTATCACTCAGAGAATTTTAAAAAAATTCATAACTTTATTACCACTCATAGTGCTCGTATATCCTGGGACAACCGAGTATGTAATGCTATAGTTAGGAAACGAGTACTAGGTAGGAATAGCAAATCAGTAGATGAAGTATTGAAACTTCATCAGTTGAGGTGGTTGACACATGTGTTACGAATGCCCAACCATCAATTGTCTCGTCGAACTGTGTTTTGCAGTGTAGGAGTAGGTTGTAAGAAAGTTAGGGGTGGCTAGACCAAAACATAATACAAATCAATTAAGTCACTGACATGTAAACTGAGTCTTGTTGATAGATGTAGGCTACCTGGTTGAGGTCCGCAAGACCTTGAACGACATAGCTCAACATCGTTTTCAGTGGCGCAAGTGCATGCACTCTCTGTGTTCTCTCAAATTCTAACCTTCTAAATTCATTATCATCTCTATCTTTCTCTTTCTAAATTTGTCTCACTGAGTTCTACTTCTCGAATCATATCTTCGAACCCTAATCTTCTTGCTAATACTTCTACTGTCGCTACCACTATTGGATTTGAATTGACAGTTGCGTCTCTCTTCTGATGCAGTATGGCAACTTGAACTGATGTATGTACGTATGAAGTTCTGCGTTGTATCTCTCTATCTGTCTGACTCATAGTGCTTAACCATCGAAGTTGTATAATTCGGATTTTTGAAATGTTTTCGCAAGTCGTTTGGAGTAACATTTCTGGAAGGAAATGCTAATCAAACTAATGTGTTGATTGACTATGATCCTGTAACAGTTGAAAACTTTCATCTCCTGAATAATTTCTTCATTTTCCTTATAGTTCTTCGCTTTCAGTATATATTTTTTTAATTTTAAGGACAATTCTTACTAATCAATACAATCATTTATTAAAATTCAAATCTAACCTAAAAAAAATCCCACTCATTGACTAGCCTAAACCTCAATCACTATTTAAAAGCTATCTATCTGTGATATACATGCATAGTTGAACTTGTGACATGTTTGTTCAGTGAATTGTCTATTGTGTAGATCGAAGGTTTTTAGTTTGATAATTGTAAGTGTAACAAGTATGGATAAAAGAACTGTGATATTCGAATCTTCGTTCAGATTGCTGGTGTGAGTGAGATCAATGAAGGAAGTTTTAAAGTCTAATATTCTTTGTCTTGTGATTATCAAAGCCAGTCTTCCACCTTAACATATGATAGTTAGTACTGAGTCAAATTAGTGCTTATTTCCTATTTTATTTGTACCACGCTTCGATTGAATGTATTTTTTTAAATCTGTAAAATGTGAGCTTGAAAACCCTATTTATCTTGTTGAATGCGTTAAGAGGAATGAAGCATGCCTTAATATTAGATTCCACTTATGTTTAAAGTGGCAAATATATGTAAGTCTTCCCTATAAGTTCTTCTGAGTGTCTTGAAAAGATAGAATTCATCACACACTGAAAATCAAATACGTCCAGACTTTCGGATCATTGTTAATCGTACACACCAGAAGAAACATATATACATGTTTTGTCTGATTGCTCAGATCTTAGCAACCAGTATTTCACTGTTTACAGCAAATACAACTTTCTTAAGAAGATTTTTGAGTCGAAAGACAATGAACTTGTCTACAAACCAATTACTTTAGGGTCCCAAACGTTATCCCGAAATCTTATATTGAAATAGAAAAAAAGGGACAGTCCAGATGTTAAATAAGTGTATTTGCTGATGATTTCACGATATCAAAATTATACCGAAATCGTACCAGAGAAATTGGGTGAAAGGTACAGTGGAGCGAAAACAAGATGGTGACCGGCATGAAGGAAACTGCGTTACAAAGGCACGAATAAACAAAATGTTCACTGGTACAATTGGTGGTTTTAATAATGAATGTTGCTCTTCAACCAATCGAGTGTTTTCTTCATAAAAGTGGAATCATCACACTGGTCAAATACCTAGGCTTCGCAATATTACATAGTTTGCTCGTTTCTTTTTGATGAGTTATTCAGCGTATCACTTTATTCATTGTCCAATTTGCTTTTTATGTTCAATCTTATGAAATTGTTAACTTTCACTGACAATTTAAACTTTATTAAACACATGTAAATCTATTCTAATTTCATTCTCTAAAGAAAAAGCATTTTTCAAATTTAATTAATCACCTTATATACAGATAGAAATTAAGACTTTGCTTTGCTTTGTAGACATTTTCAACTTGTTGGAAAGTAATCATTATGATTTTTGTTAAAGATAATAAAACTTACTAACATCACATATATATGTACATATTTATAGACTAAGAAATCTAGAATTTAACTACAGATTCAATAGGCGTGTTTATAAATTTTTGCTTAGTTACTGTTGTAAACATTATCTTACGTGTTTTCAACGTGTATATCATACTAATTTTGGGTCATAGATAAGACTAAAGTAATATGTAAATAAAAATTCCTATTGTTCTATGCATAAATTTACTTCATAACACGGAATTACAAACCACACCTATATATTGTAGGTAGGTTAACTGAATTTGCCTATTTTGTGTAGAATGTGCTGTTTGCAAAGCACTTTAGGATATGAAAGAGAGCTGTTGACAATACTAAAGTGGTATTATATTGCATTCTGATTGTAGTTTTAACGTATTGAACAGGCAGGTAGAGATATCACAATTTACTAACACATAAATAACCATGAAGCAAATAATGTACTCATATGATTAGATTACCTTATGACTGATTAATTTTTTCATAAACAAGGAAACTTGTAAAATGAAGGAATGAAATAAAATTATTTAGTTGGATTTATGGTTTATTGATTTATAACGGTCTATTTAATGTGTCATCTGATTTGGGGTGAAAACTCATGAGAGGTGTACTTACTGTTATGTCACATATAAGCACTTCAAGTAAACAAACTTTAACGAAGAACTAGTCTTGCGATAAAACATATTCAGTTGCTTCAACCTGAAGACACATGACTGAATCATCCAAAGTGACAAAATGTAATTTTAACAAAATCATACTCCTTAGGTGGATATCATCTCCATTGTCTCATATTCTAACCTTCATGTTTATAAATTCAGTTGTTACTGAAATTATTTCTATTCGAAGTATGTCGTGGCGCACCTACGTCTACCAATTCTGCCGATATAAATGTTTCATATTTGACTTTGTATAATAGTTAAATCAATCTCAATGTTTAAGGGTGATATTTCAAGGCCAGATATGAAATATAGGTAGCAGATCATACTTCATACATTCCTGCAGTAGCAGCAGACAGCAGTACAAACATATAGGCATTTTTACACATTCACGCCTGCTACACACATAGAGCATAGGCAGCCAACCAGGATTTTCCAACCAACTCTGTGCAGGAACCACATCTTTAGTTGTTCTCAAGTGCTATTCATTCTTTTTATGCCTGCCTCCAATTATTGGAGCACTGTTTTCTTTGGTCTTCCTCTTTTCCTTGGACCTTGAGGACTCAACGTTAGGGTTTACCTTACGACTCAGTTGTGTGATTTCCACAATGTGTGACCTATCCACGTATAACGATTTCTGAGAAATTTCCTCACATGGAAGCTGATTTATTTTCTACCACAATAGATTGTTGTTAACGGTGTCTGGTCAGCAGATGTGGAATTTCCTGAGTTGATAATTTCTTATTGATATATGTGATTTTTTCGGTTCTGGTGGCTTTTTTCAAGTTTTAGCTCCATATAATAGAACTATCTTGACGTTTGTATTGGAAATCGTAAATTTGGTGCTGGTTAACAGTTGTATCGAATTTCAGATTTTTGTTAGTTGTAAGAATGCTGTCTTTGATTTGTCAATCTGTGCATTCACATCTGTAACAGATACCACTTGTTTATCAATGATGCTGTCCGGTACGTAAAAGTTGCCACTTTTTAGATAGCCTCCTAATTAACTGTGATTCGGTTCGTTCTCACTGTTTTGTATGTAAGCATTAATGCTCTTCCTCACTCCTTTCTTTGATTTTTGTGCTTCTTATGACCCTTCTGACATGTTGAAGTTATTACTTCTTTAATCCCTTTCCAGTTATTCTCCATAGTAGTTTCTTCTTCTTTGAGTAGGTCTTATAAGGCCTAAAACTTATTGCTGCAAGCTGTCTTGAATTATCTGGGCTTAGCATTAGCGATCGGTGATCTGAAGCTATATCAGCTCCCATCAAGTCTTCACTGATTCTTCTGAAACTTTTATTGAGGTGATCGATCTGGTTCTGTATAGCTTGATCCAGTGAAACCTATGTAACTTTATGTATGAATTTGCATAGGAATACTTTGCGAGCTATAACCGTTTTGCTGAAAATGTCTTAGCATTTTACTCCCTTTCTCTCAGTTCATGTCGTCCTATCATATCTTCTTATCTGGTATTGTCCGTGGTGACCTTGGAATTTCGGTCTCACATCAGGATGCTCAGGTTATTTCCCAAACACTTCTATATTATTAACTACAGCCTCCCATAAAACTAATGTTTATCGTCTGCGTTGCTATCGTTGGTGGGCTCATACCACTGGATAATATTTATTGCAATCCTCTTCCTCTTTGTTTTGAATGATACTTTGATAATAGTGGGTTCAGGGGTTTCCGTCCAGTAAATGCTTTCTGAGCTTCTTTGGATAGTGAGTGTGTGTGTGTTTATTTTATGACCAGTGCACAACAGGATCAATTCGGAAGCTAGTCCATTCTGTCAATGGATTCCACTTGATTCAAACATCTCGAGGTTGTATCTTTCCATTTCTTCAGCCACTTTAATGGTTCTACCGGCCTCCCACATTGCGTGAACATTCCGTGTACTTATGTTAAGTGTTGCTCTGGCTGTTAGAAGAGAAATCAACCTTGTGACTCTTGGCGAAACCCAGTTTTGATTATGAGGCATCAAAAACGTTCTATTTGAAGGCCCTTTAACTCAGCCTACTTCAGTTTAATCACGCTAGCAGTATCACACACACACTATTACTCACTTACTCACTTAGTTTGCCTTGAACGTCATGTACACTAATCGGTATCTGATGAAGAGGTTAAATAAGCAGGGCGATAACGTAATATTTCTAAATCCTTAGATTCAAAGAAACATTTGATTCGATTCTCTACATCAATATTGATTAAGCGGAAATTTAAATAAATTGACTCAAAATGGTTAGTCTTTAATAGAAAAATAGTAATGTATAAAATTGTAATAATATAATATGAAAGTGAATTACATTACATTACAAATCCAAACTTCTACTGGAAAAAATTATCCAGAATCTAAATAAATCGGTTTAATATTTACAAAACCCATAAGATATACTCTTTATTGGTTGAATTTAACAAATTTGGTTTTCTTTTGATTAAAACTCATGGAATGTGAATAATGTGTTTTATAATTGGGTCATTCTTTGACTTTCTATCAGGTACTTGTTTGTGTATAGATGTATGAAATATAATATCTGTGATATGTCTGTGACGAAGAAACTTGTTCTTTTTTCAACCAGAGATCTCATTCAAATTCTACATAACTGTTTGTCGTGTTAATCTTTTGTGAAAACTGTGTCATTTATTTCATAGCTTATTCGACTACAGACTTCTCATAGGCTTGACGATAATTCTCATCTAATACCAAGCGTATATTAAACAATATGAGTAGCATGGTTTCAGTTATGTGGTGTATCATACCGAAGACAATGGTTTCGTAAGACCGTGGGCTGATCGAAGTTAAACCTTAACATCGTTAGGTGACGGCTCAGTGACCTAGAAGTCAAGCGTTCTTGTGCGAGACTGAAGGTCCCGAGTTCGATTCCTGCGAGAACAGTCGCGGATACGCACTGCCACTGATGAGTCCCATACTGGGACGAAACAATCATCCTGTGCTTCTGGGTTTCTGACAGTGGCCTAACAATGATTGATTCATGATTTCAATGAAACTTAAATCAATACATTCTATTACGTCGTAGTATCATGAACAAACGGTACAATTTGTTTATCTATTTTACTTATCGTACCATTTTTTTCCTAATTCCTTCCGCTTTCAAAATTGTTTTATTTTACAGACTGAAAATATCAATCCTTCCTGTTTGGCCATCGATTCACCTTCTGAGAAAATGATTCAATTTTTACAAAAACATTATAATTTAACTAATCCAATATTTTCACCCAACAATTTTGTAATCTATTCAGGATTTTTTGATAAAATACTCTATGGTTCATTGAATATTGAAAATTATTCACCAATTCAACCGAACATGTCATCCATACGAATTTGGGATACGGAAGGTTTAATTAATAAACGCAAACTGAATTCAAATGTAAATAATCTTTATGCAAAATATCGTCATTCTTATGATATTACAAACCAAATACCTAACATGTGTAATAATAATAATAATAATAATAACAATAATAATAATAATAATCACGATGATGATAGTCCATCGCCCGTTGAACAAACAAAATTACACAATCAAATTAATCATTTTGAACAAAACAATAATGTGACATTGAATAATAATAATGATCCATTGGATAGTAGTAGTAGTCCATTGCATAAAACTTTCAAGAAACAATCAATGACAAATAAAACTATTTATGATTTGCCTCAAACAAACAATGACACCACTGTTAAATTAAAACAAATCATTGATGACACATCATCACAATCAATGATGAATTCACCTAATATTGAAATGATGAAGAAATGTGAAGTATTACAAAATACAGTTGATAATAGTAGGATTAAGTAAGTATGATTTTTTTTCATTGAAATTGTAAATCAATATTGGGTTCGTCACTTAGTCGATAAACGCGAACGAGACTTTTACCAGCGTCCAGGTAGGCTACCTTGAATCCCCAACTAAAGTGAGAAGGCTTTGTAAGCGTAGAAAGTGTATTCTACAAACACCCAGCAATCACAGTACAATCAAGCATACAACTCTCGTTTATTTATACATCATAGCAACGTCCTTGGGACAATTAACAAAATAGCATACTAAAATACACAGCAGCCAATCACAGCCATGGATTTTGTTGGTGGGAATTGAAATCTTAAGGTCAACTGATCAGCCCATGCTGGCAAACGTAGAATCCAACATAAGGCATTAATCAAGCGAGTTTTGGGGGTCTAACATCCCCAACAATCAACTATTGTTAGATGCCAGCATTAGAAACCTAGAAGCTTTCATTAAACGGCCGTTTGTTTCATCCTAGTATGGGACTTATAAGCAGTGTGCATTGATGACTCCTGCTAGTCGCAGGATCGAGCGAACTCCTAAGCCGGCCGTTATCCCTCGGTGTTAATGTTTAACTATGATCAATCTAAGGACTTTACGCAACCTCACCCACTGTCTTCTGTAGTACTGATCACAGTTGACAGGGTTGAATTCTACTGGTACAAGCTTCTCAGTAGAACTTCCAGAATTGCATCACGAAGCTAGTCACTAGTGAGCACATTTTTCATTATAGAATTATGCAGATTAGTGAGTTCCATTGAAGGTATGAATCGATTATGGTTAGACATAACCATCAGAAACCTAGATGCACTCGACGGCTGTTTTGTCCCACTATGAGATTCATCAGCAGAGCTTATATATATTTATTTATTGGGTGATTTTAAAAAAAGATCGATAACATGTGTATGATAAATTTTGTCGAGAAATGGTATCATATTGTTATGCTCGTCACTTGATATGCTTGAAACTATTACGAGTTCACCTTAGTCGATAAACGAGAACGAGACAATGAACCAGTGACACGGTGGGCTACTCTGATCCGTTACTCCAGTTTATCGAAGAAAAAGTCTTAATATGACGTAGAAAGTGTATTCTACAGACACCCAGCAAACACAATCAATTCAAGCACACAAATCGCGTTTATTTGTACATGATAGAAACCTCCTTGTGAGAGTCACAAAAATAGCACACTAAAATAACACAGCAACCAATCACAGCCAAGGATTTCCCTGGTGGGAAATGTGATCTCAAGGTCAAATGGTCAGCCCATGATTAAAATCCAAAATTAAGACCTTTATCTAGTGAGTTCTGGGGATCTTACGTCGTCAACACATATTATGTGCAATAGTTAAGCAGTAAAATCACAGACAATAGTTATCAGAGAGTTTTGATAAAAGATGCTGTCTATATGAATGTTTGTCAATAGTTGAACGAATTAGTTTGACAAAAAGAAAGTTCCGATTAATGAGAGAGAATTTTATTGAAAATGATTTTTAAAATCTTGACTTGACATCTTCAAACTTATCAAAGAATATATATATATATATATATATATATATATATATATATATATATATATACATATAACTCTGAACATTAAAATTATGTTAAATAGGAAAATATGATTAAGGAACATGTGAATGAAGTTTAAAAAAATCACAATGTAATACAGACTGAATGTCTCCCACTCGACACAGACTAAAATCCAGTAGCCAAGAGTTTTCACTAGAACTGCAGGAATACACCATGAAGTTAGTAACCAATGAGTAAATGATTGTCATGAATGTGCGCTGTTAAGATGTCTCATAATAGGCCATCAGGAGATTTCAGGTTTCCAACGAGGATCTAGTTAAAAATTAGTTCATGAATTCAACTATCAAAATAATACTATCTCCACAAATCCTACCGATTATTAACATTTATTTACTTACTAGTTATGAAACTTTATTCGACAGACTTGATAAGAGATCATAAATAAGTTGACTATTTCATTCCGAAGGTATATTAATTAAATAATTAAATTTACGCTCTATTCCTCAATGTTTTCATTGTATTTTATAGTGTTTGCTAAATGTTTACAGGTTTACTTACTTACTCACCTAGCTATTTACTTACTTACTCGCTTACTTACTTACTTGCTTACTCCTGTTACCCTGAATGGAACATAAGCCACCGACCAGCGAATTAATTTTTCTGGTCAGTGTTTGTTGAACAAGTTGAATTTTTACGAGATTGCCCAACCTTTCTCCTTTATCCGGGCTTGGAACCGACAGTAATCTCAGCTAAAAAAAGAGATGTACTTCAAATTGAATTGGTTCAAATATTTTTTACATTATAAAAATGAGTCATTTGGAAGAAGTACGATGTAGGGATAAACTAATTGAATTCAAAACGAAACGACTTTTCTTTTAGTTAACATAAAAACAATAACAGAAATACGTTTTTATAGAGTTTGGAACGTTTAAAAATTGATAACGAAATGCTGTGTTTTTTGCTATAATACAATATAAGCGAACTGATGTTAAACTTATCAAACAGCTCATAGAAGTAGACTGACTGTATTTAACTTGAAAATCAACCCTATTCCAAAAACACTAAGTCTAAACCTCTAATTCTAGATCTAAAAACAGGCATCGAATCCCTAATTCACACTCTTCAGTCAATCAGTCAGCTATAACGTAAAACTTCGTACATACGTTTATCAGTTCAAGTCGCCATACTACATTAGAACACAGAGATTGAAATGTCAATTAAAATACCATCGTAGCAGAGATAGCAGAGGTATTAGCAGTAATCGCAACTGTTCAAAGCTCACTCTTCATATGCTATGTTCTTATCGAGTCACTTGTATATTACCGAATAATTTGTTATTTAGTTACACTTTTTTGCAATATTTTGTTCCTGTATAGGCTTTACTTTAAGTTACTGACAAAAAAACACTAATTTAATTTTGATTTCAGATCTCCAATACAAAAGAAATCTAACCGTCCTACTGTGACCAATTCAGAATTATTTAATTACTGTTCATTTCAAATGCGAAATCGATCCAGAGCAAACTATTCTTATATAAATGCTGTACGTAATCATAATCGTCATACAAGATTATGGTAACGTATATATTCGGTAGGTCAATATTTTGATTATACGTAAATATTATATTGTTTTTTACGAAATCATTTCTTATCAGATAGTAAGTAGGAGAATTGGAAGCAACTTTCACTGTTTTATCTATAGTGGATACTACTTGCTGTGTGACTTATGAGTAGTATAATGTTATACTAGTTGGACTTTGGTAGTGTAAACTAAAATCAGCAGTACCAAAATTCTGATATGGAACAAACAGCAACAAATTCTGATTCACTACTATTTTTAATTAACTTATTATTGATAAAGTGACCAATGTTACGTTTGTTTAATATTTGGACAGATATAAAACTGACTTTTTCATAATATTCATAGTAATTAATTCACTGGTAATCAGTGTCTCTTAATTTCCAGTGACCGTTTAACTAGTTTCAAAATTTTTGTTTATAAAATGAATTTGCATAATATTTCATTTATTTCCATCTGTCCTTTGAAATCTCGATAAGTCGAGAGTCAATTCCTAATTGGTTAAATGATATGCAAGACGTTCTAACTACTTATGAGTAGTTCGTAGTCGAAAACTAAAATTTTATTGATAGATTGGTACAGCGATAACTGAACGTTTCTAGAGATATTTTGTGGATAATTCTATATCGCGAACTTAATCTAGCTAGATAGACATTGAAGCGCTAAATAACTGCTCCTCAGTAGTACACATCTGCAGTCCATAGAGGATAAAACTGACGATTTTCATATCGCACAATGAACAATCACTCTTTATTCCATTTAGCCCAAATCCATTGATAAAATGTACAAGTTCGATGCGTTCATGGTATTTTATGATGCTGTTGACATTGATGAACTTAACTAGTCACAGTTGGGTCACCAGATCTTAAACTATTCACAAGTGAGCCCGCGATAAAGAGTTTTTAGGAATGCTGAACTTTATGGTTTACATTCCAGCAAATATGATATCACTCAATATCATGAATTGATAGAAGTTAAACATTTAAACCGTTGAATGACTGACTACTTGCTTGTTTAAATATTCGGCACTCACCATGGAATTAGAATTTCCTGATGTGCATTGCTAAAGATTTGCATACTAGAATGAAACAACTATGCAGTGATTTTAACTGTTCAAATGTAATGTAGTGTTTTGGTTGATAATGTGAATCGTAAAATTCAAAGTGTTACCACAAATCTCCAATAACAATAACCACATGTTTTCAAATTAGACATTGATAATGTTCAATCAAACATCCGCCAGGATACTTTTTTGAGTATGTTCATCATGCGGTCAGCCAGAACGAAACGTACTTTGAAAAATAACTTTACACCACCTTATTTAACTTGCGCATGTTTCTTGTTCAACTTCTAACATTGATTTCAAACATTTAACTGGTTTACTAAAAGAAATATTAATTGAGGTCTATAAGTAGGAATGTTACTATTAATAGTAGTCAACTACTTGAAAGCTACTGATATTTATTAACGTATATACGTCATGACACAATGCTTAATTCTGTCATAAACTGTACGTATTCTAAGTGATTTCAATAAAAAAATAATCATGAAAAGAACAGTTTATGTCATCAGGCATTGCCAAAATATTTGATGATACAACTAACAAAACATCGATTTTCAGCGTCTAGAAAAAAAGTCATTCTCAGCTTCAACAGTATGAAAACTTTACGACAGTGCTGATTTACTTCTAATTTTCAGCTGAGATTTGTTAGGATATTCATCAAATATCCTAAGAGAATTATTTTCGTTGGTCTAATTCAGTTGGTTAATTCCCATTGGTCAATATTATGGTCGTCCTAGCTATTAATGTCACGAACTTCAATACTGTTTCCTATTCAACCTACTTGTATAAATACGCATTGTCTGTAACGTTTTATGACCCGGATCCCTAGTCCGGGATCCTGATTCTCTTCTGAAATCGGATATCGTACTTTCTGGTTGCTTGTACAATACAGGTTCGACTTCATATCAAGTCTTCTTCTTTTAATCGATGAGGGTTTTGGACAATCGGATTAGAGTAGCTTGTCGTGTCGCCGGATCCTCGAACCTAGCTCTTGTTTTCCGACTAAGGTAAATTGGTAATAATTCAAGCATATCAAATCGACATGTTTACGTGCATTCGCAAAACAAGATTTGTATTGTATTTAGTTGTGTATGCATTGACTTTATCTACTTAGACGTTTACACTATCGATCAGGTTATACATATATCAAAAATTTAATTTCAAATGATATTGTAACACATGTAATCGGCAGTCACTGAAGCGCGGAGAAGACCTGAAAGAAACCGCAACACATAATGTTAACCAAGAACTTGACACGAAAAAAGAGAGGACACGGATTGGTAGCCACGGTTTGCTTGTTTGAATATCAAAACTCGCGGGCTGTATATCACAGAAGGAATGTTTGCTTACGAAATAGTCGAATGAATCATCTTGCAAGTTTAGCTCACACAGGGCTCTCGTTCTTCTCCTTCCAAAACATATCTTGGTCACTCTGCAATAGAAGGGAAACAGAATCTATTAACGATGTCATACAAAAGTGATTTCAACATTGTTACAATCGTTACACATGTACGTAAACATGTCATTTTTATCTACTTGAATTATTACGAGTTTACTTTAGTCGGAAAACGAGAGCGAGGATCGAGAAACCGGCGATATGACATGCTACACTAATCCAAGTGTTTCAACCCCCATTTAATAAAAGAAGAAGATTTGTTATGAAGTAGAACATGTATTCTACAAGCATTCAGAAAGTACGAGGTCCGAGTCCAGAAGAGAATCAGGATTCCGGACTAGGGATCCGGGTCCGGGTCCATTCACTGAAAAGTTACAGATAATGGGTATTTATAAATTTAGGTCGAATAGGAAACAACATCGAAGTACGTGACATTGATAGCTAGGACGATCATAATATTGACCAATAGGAATCGACCAATAGACTTTACACTTACAAAATGATGATTCTTCTTAGGATATTTGTTGAATATCCTCCTAACAACCATATTTCGGATTCATTTATATTGTGTGTTTGTGTGTTTATTTTTTTTTGCTTTCTGTAGATTTTCATTGCAATTCAATATGGATTTTCTTATGTGACAAAAATGATTTTTACGACAAATGTATTCATCATCATTCCAGAGCGAGCGAGCGAGAGAGAGCAGATGATACTACACAATCTGTTAAAGGAGATGATTGCATATATATATATATTTATTGTTTTCAGAAAGCAATTCACATTTAACAGATTTTTCATGTATATTTTATAATTCACAGCTAAAATAACATATATACATATATATATTACTGATAAATGATTGATAGTAGTTCGTAACTCAGATCGAACACTCTACTGACATTTATGATCTGACGAGAATTCAAGATATTTTACCAAATTATAAGCTGTCAATATTCATTCATTTTATTTAATTACCCGCAAAAATAATCATGTAATTATTTATACTTGAATATTAACATAATTCAATGGTTTCACTTCTAATGCCTTTCAAATTATCTAATAATAATAATATGTAAGGTCGGATTCATTCAGAACTTATCATTACCACGTATTTTAAAACTGTAGTCTATCTGTAAATTTGTTTGAAAAGTTATGTGAAATGAATGAATACCTTTTGAAAGAGAGGCTTTCTTACTTTTCATTTGTAAAAACAAATATTTTATTTGTTGTCCTAGTTCGTGATTGTTGCTATTATCTTCGTTGCCATGATTTTTCGCATAACTTGTATATTAGAGTAGATCAAGTTAGAAAAAATGAAATGAAAATAGAGATAATTATTTTAATATTAGGAGGTTGTGAAGATTCCTAAGTTATTCATTGCACCGGCTCAATGGTCCAGAGGTTAAGCGTTCATGTGCAACACCGAAGGTCCTGGGTTTGAGTCCTGAGAGGTTCAGGAGTAATGGATGCACACTGTTGATCAGTCGCATACTAGGATGAAACAGCCATTCCATGCTTCCAAGTTTCTAAAGGTTGCCTAACATTGATCAGTTCATGATTTCAATAATTACTTTCGCCTGTGATGTCATTGTCGTGATTCTGGGTTTCACCAGTTTGTAGTACTTGCTACTTTGATGTGGTAGTCTCTGAAATGGCTTTTTTTGATGAACTCTTGAACCTTTATCATCTGGAATAATCATTCCTTTAAGTTCATCTTATATGAGAGGCAGTTTACTTGCGGAGCGGTACTAGGATAGAATCATGATGTTTACTATCCAAAAGTGAGTCAGTAGTAAGCTGCTTTCGTCAGACAAATAGCATATGCAACGATATTGACGGAAGAAAAGGTCACACAAGGTTGACCTTAAAGACAGTATACCTTCTGAGATGTGGACAGACAGATGGTGACCAGCTTTGGACTTCAAACGGCAAATTATGCATGGATGATTTGTATTTCAAAGTTTCATCATCTGCGTCACTTTTAACTTTCATGTCATGTGAAGAGTCTGGCAGATTACGTTTTTATAAAGTTCACCGTTAGAACATTTCCTATTCGAATTCAGTGTAAATCTGGATTAAAAGTGTTAATATTATGATCACTTTATTCCAGGTCTTTCTGGAAAATAAAATCGAAAATTGTGTATCAAGATTTCTTTCAAGTCAAGCAGGCAAGAAAACACAGTTGTAAATTTAAGATGGTACATCACATGGGATTCTTAATGTATGGAAAACATTAGGCGGCACTACGAATCATTAAGAGTAATAGGATCAGTTCATACTAAAGACTAGAAAATACTCAGTTATTATATTAAATGAGTCATATAGAAGGAAAATGACGAACTATTGTTATCTAAAGAACCGGTGAAAATCAATAAAGGTCAGATATTTATTTCCATTACTAATTTAAATACTGAATCAGTCTGTGATCAATGGGATTCTAAGATGAAGTCGAATCAAAGGATATCAGTCAGTCAGTCAGTTACAACGTAAAACTTCGTTCGTAGGTATATAAGTTCAAGTTGCCAGACCTCATTAGCACAGAGACGAGAATGTCACTTTAAATCCCATAGTAGTAGAGGTAGTAGAAGTATTAGAGGTAATCGGAGAGATTAGGGTTCAAAGATGTTATTCAAGATGTAGAATCTAGACAAAGATGACGCAGAATTTAGAAGATTAGGATTTGCGAGAAGCCGAAAAATGGAAGCAGGTAGTCAACAGCTATCAACATGGTTCAGTCCAGTTGTCAGTGCCACGTTTTGATTTGGCCACCCCTAGCTGTCTTCCAGTCTATTCCTACATCTCAAAAGGTAGCTTCGGCGAAGCAATCGTGTTTAGGCATACGCAACACGTCCAGACTACCTCAACAGATGAAGTTTCACCACTTCATCGATTGATCTACCATCCCTACCTAAGACCCGTTTCCTAACAACAGCATTACTACTCGGTTGTCCCAGGATACACAAGCAATGCTCCGGACACACTTATGATTGAAAACCGGTAACCTATGAATATCTGACTGGCCATATTTCACAGCCATAGAGTAGGACGGAGCGAACTACTGCACAGTACACTCGTCCTTTGGTCAGCAGACGGATATCTCTCCTATGCCTTAAGTGACGCAAATTGGCAAAAGCTAATTGAGCCTTCTGTGTCCGTGCTGAGGTTTCGTCAAACATCAGGCCATCAGCACTGATGAGACTCCCGAGATAAGTGAAGCGGTCAGCACGCTCAATTGCGTCACTCCCTATCACTACCTCAGGTGCCGATACAGGTCAATCTTGACGCAAAAGTTTGCATTTCTACAGGGAGAATCGCATCTCGAACATGCTTGCATTGTTGCGTAGGGTAGTCAGAAGACTGCATTTTATCAGCGTCTTACCAAGTAGAAGTGGAAGTATAATTAACCCCATGAAAATATATCATCATCCCAACTTAGTCCTTTTGAGATAAAAACTTAATCATTCAGATTGAGATGAAAACTGTCTCGTGACACACATAAATTGTACAAAACTCAAATATCCTTTTAAAATGTTCAAAATATTAACTAATAATCGTACAATGTAACGGTTATGATCAGGTCACCTTGAATAGTTGGATATATGTTTAGCTCGCATTTTAGCAGACACTATTTCAAAACTTGGATAAACCTGAAAAACCCATAATTTTCAAAAAAACTTATCACTGATTCGAAAGAATTTCGAAGATAATCTTTGATGAAAATCTGTGATTGTTTGTGTACATGAATTAATATTTCAAAGGAAACATTACTATATTTAGTTACATATATACATATATACCAACTTCATTACACTAGTTTTACCTTATACTTAGGTCATTTTGATCAATCCGCATAATTTCTTTGACTTAAAATATTGTTTCGTTCATTAGTCAAAACATTTTACATTGAACTGTTTAAGCATGTTAAATGTTTTCACTTAAATACATAATACACATCAATTGATAATAATCAGTCAATGAATGGAAACAAATAAACGCTCTCATAACAATCAACAGTTACTTACTTACTTATGCAGTTACTTACTTACTTTCTTACTTACTTACGCCTGTTACCCCCAATGGAGCATAGGCCGCTGACCAACAATAATGCGATACAATACATGTTTATGCCTTCATGGTCAATCGCATCACCAATCAAGAAGAATGTTAGAATATCTAAAGATGAAAATTACTTGTTTTAGTTAATAAAATAATTTTGTTGATAGAAAAGAATCAGCTTAACATATTTATGGTGATCGTTTGTAATGAACTAACTATATGCATGTAAGTCATTCAGTCAGTCAATTGCAACGTAGAACTTTGTACGTATGCACATAACTTCAGGTTGCCATACTACATTAGCATAGAGATCCAATCGCTAGTTCAAATCCCATAGTGGTAGAGATTAGTAGGAGTATTAGCGATGATGAAGAAGATTACAGTTCGAAGATATTATTCAAGAAGTATGATTCAGTGAGATAACTTTAGAAAGAAAAAGATATAGGTGATAAGGAATTAAGAAGATGAAAATTTCAGAGCACACAAAGAGTGGATGCACTTGCGCCACTGCAAACCATTTTGAGTCATATCGTTCAAGGTCTCTAATCATAAGTTAGTAACGTCTCGCGGACCCCAACCAGATAGCCTCTATCTACCAACATGACTCAGTCCACTTGTTAGTGTATGTAAGTGCGAAAATATTAAGCATATATTTTAAAGTTTTCTAACTGATTACTACTAATACAACAATACACAGTCTTGATACAAGAATGCATAGAATCAACTCTAAAAGTTGCATATTCAAAACAGAATAAAACAAAAGAACTGTTTTTTACTTCACTGTGTAAAAATGTACAGGAAAAAAAAGGGTGTATTATATATCTTTTAGTATAAATTGTAAAATTTTTGATAGATAATCCATCCCTGTTTACTAACAGGAAGTTTATACAAAGTGTTTAATCACATTGTACCACGTTGATGAAATTCTAGAACTTCCATTGGACTGTTGTGATTGGATGAAATTTCTTTGGGTTTTTTTAAAGCCTCTAAAGGTTTGGTTTTGCTTTCTAAATATTTTCTGATTTTCCAAAAGACTATTACTAACAATTTAATAGTAATAAGTTTAATATGTTTGTAAGGTTTAACATAAATTCAGTTGAACTTTACAATGGTGAATAAGTAACTTTTGAAAATTTGAACTAAATCACTTAACAAAATCAATAATCGTATGTTTACTAGTCACCGATTACGGACTAAGTTCTCGGTGTATCATTAAAAAAAAACTCATGACTGATGGAGTAGGTTAACAGCTTCGGATAGTTAGTTATGTACGATTCGTCAGAGGATGTTAATTCATGAGCAAGAGAAGACAATTATCGATCTGGATAAGGCATATTTTCAATGATATTAGTCTACGAATGTTGATGTTATTTTCAGAGAGGTAGGTTAAAATGGAAAGTAATGCCAGATATCGTCTTATATTGTAGCAGTAGCAGTAGTAGAAGTGTACGTTTTTCTAACTAAAAAAAAATAAACAAGCTTTTCGGTAGTTATTCATTTGATAACATATTTATTTAGAATTCTCAAAAAATTACTCAATACAAGTTTGGTTTATACGATACTTAGATAAAGTGTACTGAAGAGGCATAGCATTATTGACAATTTGGCCAATATAAAGTAGTTGTTGAGCTCAGGATTCAGAGAAAGCAATGAAAAGAATGAATGAAAATTGGACAGAACTGGAAAAGAAAGCCCAGGAGAGAGTAGGTTGGAGAATACTGGTCAGCGGCCTATGCTCCATTACGGGGTTGCCGGCGTAAGTCTAAAAAAGAGGATTTTTGTATCCTGACATATATTTATCGAAAAAAGAACTTCAGTTAGATTCATTGTGGTTAGTGCTTTGAGTTACTATGATTTTGTAAGTGATTAATCAATGCGTTAAACCCAGAATATCAAAGGATGAGATAAATAGAATATCTTCATCCTAATCAATATTATGAAGTCATAAGATTGCAACATGAGCCAACATGGTATGATGTTATGTAACAT